AACCCCCAGGTTAGCAGGAGGCTGATGACTGGGAGTCAGGACTGTGGGCTCTGTCCAGCCCAGGGTCCTGTGTGGATCCTGTGTGGCAGGTCCGTGTGGAACGGAGCTAGGCCGGTGATGTGGTGCCCTGGTCAGCTACCCCCATCCTTCCTGCCTCTGGCCTTCTCGAGGCCCAGCACAGAGACCCTCTGTGACCAGTCTCAGCCTGCCAGCCCAGGCCACCAAGGGCAAGCCCTTGCAAAACCTGCTCCACTCTCCCTGAGAGGCTGGCCTGCCTCCTTCCAGGGCCTCCTTCCAGGGTCTGCCAGGCCTGTCCCTCAGGGTGTGCTCCCCGGGATAATGTGCCCGCTGACCCTAAGCCTAGGGCTGTGGTTACTCAGGGCTTGGGGAGGCCACAGGGAGATGGGGAAGGAGTCCCACAAGGAGAATGTGGAGACCGGGCAACGTGACTCATGCCTGTAATCCCAGCACTTTGAGAGGTCAAGATGGGAGGAGTGTTTAGGCCAGGAGTTCAAGACCAGCCTGGGCAATGTAGTGAGATCTCATCTCTACAGAAAATTTAAAAAATAGCCGGGCATGGTGATGTCTATAGTCCTAGCGCTTTGGGAAGCTGAGGTGGGAGAATCACTAAAGCCCAGAAGGTCAAGGCTGCAGTGAGCTATGATCGCACCACCACACCTCAGCCCGGGCAACAGAATGACCCTGTCTCTAAAAGAAATAAAAATAAAGAATAAGAATGCAGTTGTACCCACCAGGGCCTTTGCCCCAAATGCCTTTCCTGTAGTCACAGCCTGAGGACTCGGAGGTGGGGCTAGGGGAAGGCAGGAAGGGCAGAGGAAGGGGGACGGCAGGAGGAGCAGGAAGTGCTGGGTGCAGGAGGAGGCAGAGCAGAGCCGGAAAACAGACCTGGACACTGCAGGCAGCTGAGGGCTCCCAGGCACTTGGTGAACATGGGTGTTGCAGGAGGGCTGGGGTGCCTGGCAGGTCAGTGTGTCCCATGCTGGGCACATCACAGACTGTGTGGCAGGGACACCTCCCAAGCCTTGGAGGGCGGGGGGATTATCAGCCTCCTGTGTATGGGAGCAGGGAGGTGGCCCAGGGAGGTCACACAGTAGGGGGTGGGCTTGAACCTAGGTCTGTGGATCCTGGTCAGGCTCTCTGAGAGCCCCCAGGGGACCCTGCCTGAAGGGAAGGGGTGGAGCTGTTTCTGTCTAGAAACAGGACTGCCTGGTGCCCATGGGCTGCGCTGGGGCTAGAGAGAGGGCCTCACCACTGCTCGCCAGCCTGGGCTGTGCAGTGGCTCCTGGGCCCTGGTGGCAGCTGGGCTGCGCCTCCCTGGCTCCCCATAGAGTGGGCTCCCATGAGAGGGTTGAGACCTGCCACCAGGCTGGGTGCTGGTAGGTCTCCCCACGGCCCCAGGACCCACCTGGGCTGCTCAGGAGAAGATAGACTAGTCTCCAGGTCTGCTTGGAGGGCCCTGTTTTGCTTCCTGCTCCCAGGAAGGGAAGCTCCTGGACCAGGTCTAGCCTAGGAGGCAGGGAGGCTGCTGGGGCCCCAGGAGGCCACTGTGGGCTGCAGAGGCCGAGGTGTACCCGGCCTTGAAGGCTGAGTTTGACTGTGCAGAGAAGAGTAGAGACACTCAGCCAGGGCTGTACCCGCAGGAACGGGGCGTGACACAAGCGTCAATACTGCCTTTTTTTCTGTGCACTCGGTGGATATAGAAGGTTCTGCCCAGAAGGGATGAGGCAAGTCCCAGCACGCCCACCTCGGGTAAAACTTTTGCCAGGTCCACAAACCACCCATCCTTTTTCCTTCACACTGTGTTTTTCTCTGAATTTATTCACTTTTTTTTTGAGTTAGAATCTCACTCTGTTGCCCAGGGTGGAGTGCCTTGACACACTCACGGCCACTCCAGTGTCGACCTCCTGGACTCTGGTGATCCTTCCCCCTCAGCCTTCCAAGTAACTGGAACTACAGGTGTGCGCTACCACACCTGGCTAATTTTGGACTGATTGTAGAGATGAGGTTTTGCCAAGTTGCCCAGGCTGGTCTTGAACCCACGGGTTCAGGCAATCCACTCACCTCAACCTCCCAAAGTGCTGGGATTACAACTGAGCCACCGAGCCCGACTGAATGTATTCACTTTTTAAAACAGCCTTATTAGTCACAGAACCTGTGAAATCCTGGATCTGGCATGCAAGTGATGTTTTCTCTGAAGCAAATTAAAATAAGCGCCTAACTCCTGAAATCGAAAGCTTTCTCTCTGTGCCATGAGAGGGAACCGTGAGTGGCCGCCTGGGACCCTACTTTGGGAACAGCTGGTGTTATCCTGATGTGCAGCTGGATGGTGGTGGGGGGCCTCACCTGTGGTCAGCGGCCCACCTGACTCGTGGCCAGTGCTCCTGTGCCTCCAGTGTGACTCCACCCTGACGGTCTGGGGCAGAACTCGGGAGGGGAAGGCAGGTGAGAGAGGGCCGCAGTGTGGGCAGGGCCATGGTGTAGACAGGGCTGCAGGGTGGGGAAGGCTGCAGTGTGGACAGGGCCACGGTGTGGACAGGGGGCCCACAGTATGAACAGGGCCATGGTGTGAACAGGGCCATGGTGCGGACGGGGCCATGGTGTGAACAGGGCCATGGTGCGGACAAGGCCACGGTGTAGCCAGGGCTGCAGCATTGACAAGGCTGTGGTGTAAACAGGGCCACAGCATGGAGATGGTCTCAGTTGGGCAGGGTGGCAACATGGGCAGGACTGCAGTGTGGACAGGGCCTTGGCATGGGCAGGGCTGCAGTGTGGACAGGGCTGCAAGGCAGGAGGAGTGGGGAGGAGGGTGAAGGAAACTTGGAGGTGGGGAAGGGGCTGTGGCATGGATAGGGCCTCGATGTGGACAGGGCTGCGGTGTGAATAGAGCTTCGGTGTGGACAGGATTGGCATGGACAGGACCTCGGTGTGGACAGGGCCTCAGCCTGAGGGCTAGAAGAAGAGGATTTGCCTGATATGAGGAGCCCTCCCTTCCCTGGGATTCCCAAGAAATTCTGAACTTCTTCCATAAAGAAGCCTTTGTGGCTTAGATCCGGGCTTGATTCAAATCAAATGCAAAGTTTTATTTTCACTCAAATTCCCAGAGCTGCCTTGCTGGTCTGCGGGGGTGTTTCCTGCTGTCTTTCTTCCTGGGAAAGGGGAATTTCAGTGAGTTTCTCTTGTTCCATTCTGTCCTCGGATGGGTGGGAGACATGAGGTCCGTCAGGAGACTTGGCAGGGAAGGAAGAGGATGACTAGAGGCATTGGCTGGGCCAGAAGTGCATTCACTTTACAGAGCACTTATTGAGCCCCTGCTGTATGCCCTGCCCCAGGCTGGGCACTTGCATGTGGCCCATGGCACTTGGCTATGTGTCTGCCAGGAAAGTAGCACCTGGTCACTCCGCAATGGAGGGCTTGAAGCTGGACCTGCTGAGGCCGCCCTGCTCCTGCGCCCATCACACACACACAGCCGGGTTCTCTGCAACGTCCACCTTCAGGCTGGCCAGTGAAACATTGCTGGCAGGTTTGTGGGAGCCTGAGCTGTCACAGGCAAGTGGGGTGGGCTCAGTCCCTCCTCCAGAACAGGGCAGAAAGGGAAACGAGACCCAGCTGCTGATTGATCAACTGATAAATGTTGTGAAGTCAAAGAATGAGAGTGTGTTGAAGCCACCCAGGCTGTACTGCTCAGATCAGGACAAGCAGGATGTGCCATGATGAAATGCGAGCTCGATCACATGGTGGCTGAGGAAGCTTCCCACCCAAGTGCTTGCTGCAGGCTTCGTAAACTCTCTGAGTCTCTGATGTGGTGTCTTGCATCCCGGCCCCTTCACCGATGCCAACGTGGGTCTCTCCCACTGTGATGGAAAGGTGCTGATTTCTGGGCTCCATCTCCAAAATGGGGGGCCCAGTGGGTCTGGACTGGAACCCAGGATCAGCATTGCCAGTGAATGGCATGGAGCCCTGGAGATCTCCCTTGCCCTAGGTGATCTTAATGCAGGAGATCCATGGGTGGCATGCTGAGTAACCTCACCCATCACCCAAAGGGCAGCCCAGCGAGGGAAAGAATCTCAGACTTTCAGGAGACCTGTATTCATGGCCTCTTCAGCTATGTAGCCTTAGACAAGTCACTTCACCTTTCTGTGCCTGTTGGCAATGACGATGGTGGTGATAAAATACAGGACTGAGATTTCTGCAGGTACACCTGTGGATTTGAAACTCTAGAGGACTCGGGGAGGGGATGACAGTAGATGGTGGTATGACTCCTAATACAGAGAGGCACACCCCTCACACCTGCCGGCATCTTCCCTAGCCTCTGTGAACACCGGCTGCCTCTGTCTGCACCGCCCACGCTGAACTGAGCACAATGCCAGATGCTCAGGAGGCCATCCCTATGTGTGGCTGGTATACCCCAGCACATGTCACCTTCCTTGGTTGTGAAAGGACCCTATGACCTTTCTGGAAGGCAGCTGGGCATGTGCACCAAAAGCAGGAACTGTATGAGTGCCCATGCCAGCCTCTGCTCTTGCAGAACTTTATTAAAAGATTTAAGTCTTGGTCAGGCATAATAGCTCATGCTTGTAATCCCAGCACTTTGGGAGGCCAAGGCAGGAGGATTGCTTGAGGCCAGGAGTTCAAGATCAACCTGGACCTCATAGTGAGACCCTGTCTCTATAAAAACTTAAAACAATTAGCTGAATGTGGTGGTGTATACCTGTTTTCCTAGCTACTCAGGAGGCTGAGGCAGGAGACTTACTTGAACCCAGGAGTTGGAGGCTGCGGTGAGCCATGATCACACCACTGCACTCCGGCCTGGGCAACAGAGTGAGACCCTGTTCAGGAAAAAAAAAGAGCCAAAACATAAGTCCCCCACTCGGGGCTCAGTTCGTGGTGGACCCTGAACCCTGGAGGCTCCTTTTCCCCTTCCCAAGGGGGCACCAGAGCTGGGAACAATGCGGCCTGACCCCTATCCCTTGGCTCCACAGATGTCCTGGCGTCCGCAGTACCGCAGCTCCAAGTTCCGGAATGTCTACGGGAAGGTGGCCAGCCGGGAACACTGCTTCGATGGGATCCCCATCACCAAGAATGTGCAAGACAACCACTTCTGCGCTGTCAACGCACGCTTCCTGGCCATCGTCACCGAGAGTGCGGGCGGTGGTTCCTTCCTGGTCATCCCCCTGGAGCAGGTAGGCAGGGGAGGGCCAGACGCCCCTCCTTCTCTCTGGGGTCCCCCTAGCACTGGACAGCTGTGCCTCCAGCCTGAAACTTCAGCGCACGTGCAGCTGGGACCCAGGGCCCACAGTGTGCACTTGGATATGTCACAGCCGCTGTGCAAACGGCCTACCCCAGTCTCCCAGGCTGGCTCTGCAGTCCTGCTCTGGATGTCCTTGGGGTTTGGGGCTGGAGGGGATGAAGCCCAGCCCTCAGTGCATTGAGCCTCTGCAGAACCGGTCCCTTCTCCATGGGGAGGCTGCAAATAACCTACCTCTCCCCTCCACCCGCCGCCCCCACCTCCCATCAA